CCAAATGCAGCTAGCGCTAAGTACTCAATTTTCTCTACCTAATCTAAGATACTTGATCTGTCTATTCTACTTTAAAAGTTACATGTCAAGTTTGGTGACACTAGCTTTTAAAAACTAAAAGAAAGAAAAGAAATCAAAAAACAAGATTTCAATATCGATTGCTTGGAAAGGTGGCAAGTTATCTATTATAGAAGTTATCTATTGCACTAGGAAGACCCTAGGAAGACCTTACAAATTTTAAGTTCCTTATATGTACGTGTACGCGTTCATACATATGTATGTACAGAAGAACAGAAGGCCAGATGGACATGGCCAGATGGACTCGGCTATGGCTGCTGATCAAGAATATATATACTTTATTTCTTCGGCCTTTTGCATACATTTGCACAAATACATAAAACCCATTTTTACTCATTTTCAATGGGTTCAGGGTATAGAAATTAAGTTAAGTAAGCAAAAAACATTTGGTAGCACGTGTTTTGAAGAAAAGAGCAAAGTATTCCAAACATTTAAAATATTAATCCCAGTTATATATGAGACAAACTAAGACTTGATTTATTTGATTTATTTGATTTATTTATTTATTAATGGTCGACAAAACGAGTGTCGAGTTAGAGAACACAATTTTCTAATAGCATCACCGACCGATGGAGGTGTTTTATGATCACAATGGACTGCTTAATCAAATTCTCTTAGTATTTTCTTGTTCACGTAGTTAGTACAAGTGTTTACTTAAAATTTTTTAACAACACTCAGGGAAATATTTTGGAAATTCCGCAGCTCTTTCTATGTATGTGAATAGACTGTTTCCAGTGAAAAACTGCATCTAATTAAATGTAGAACTTGGCAGGCAAACAAAAAAAATAATCATGATTTATACACACATTGCCTAGTTAAACGCCCATTTGCTGGTATTTGGAAACTGCCAGAAATCGGAAATTGGAAAATAACAAAAAGAGGCAAAGAAAATTTCGTGGATCGTGGGTCAGAGTCAGGGCAGCATTAGGCGCTGTCAGGCGGCGCCTACTTCAAGTCATGGGAGTGCCTCGATCGAGTTGAACAGATGAAAGGACACAAAAACACAACACGCATCCTTCGCATACTCCCACACGCATTGTTTTCATTTCATTTACGAGTCGAGCTGAGCCGTGCTGCTGTCACATATGTTGGAAAACCTCGCTGGTAAACGGCATGCGGTCCTTGGCCAGGTCCTGGCCGTGATTCGCAGTCCTGTCGCGGCGGCGCATAGCACATGCCATCGATTACCATGTGCGCACATCGAATAACAATTGTCCCTAACAGCCATGTGAATTTGGCATGCAAAAAAACAAAAGGAACAAATATAATGGAATAAACGAAAAAAGAAAATGGCCTGTCCTTGCCGCAAGGATCGCCTGCCTGTGTGTGTGTGTGTGCTTGTGTGTGTGTGTGTGTGAGCTGCCTCTTTGCCCATTTCTAAATTTAGTTACACAATTTATGCGCGCGTTATTTGAGATGATCTTCAAATGCTTTTTAGTAGCCCAAAACCAAACATGGGCACGCATCAGCCTTGGCAGCGTTGGGGGCGTTGACAGTTCGGGAGTTGGGGTATTTCTATTGCTTCACATCAAGGTGGTTCCTGCGGCTCTCAAATTGGTATATTCCAAGAGATTCCTGAAGGAAACTCTAGCTCGCTATTGCATTGCGTGGAACTGAAAATGTTTTCTTACTTAAAAAAACAAAAGGGTTTTGGGTGTCCAATAACAAGAAAAATATTGATTATATTCTTGACTGAAATTTTAAATTAAGCAGGATTCAAATTCAAAGGCTGCGGCTTAGAAATATTAAGAGAATTTTTTTTGTTTAAAACTAACAAAAATAAATAGTATTTGCGTATGTATATAAAAGAGATATAAAATCACTAGGCCATAAAATTAATGAGGATATACTATAATTATTTTATAGTCAACCAAATGTATATGTTCCATTGATGTAGGCTCTATACATCATAGAGATGTAAAATCACATTGTGATAAATTTAATGAGAATTAATTATAATTATTGTATAATTTTTTATAAATGAATTTATAGGCTCTGTATATCATAGATGTATAAAATCTCAATGCAATATATATTTATCACATTTATATATTTAAATTTTTTTCCGCGAATCTTGATTTAAGGTCCCACTTCCCGTCCAACCGACCGATTATCTACTTTCTAAATAGTTTATATGACTTTATACGAGGAAGAGAAGACTCTGAGCAGAATACTCTAAAATGCCTTGTGTAATCATCGCAGAGCACCCGGAACGGTTTATGCAAGGCATAGTTGAACAAAACTTAAGCTATAAAGGTGTAAAACTAATGATAGTCTAGTAGGAACAGATAAGTTTTGTTCTGTTTAAGATTCAATTTGTTTTATTATGCGTCGGAATCGATTAGCACCTTCTGAACTCTGCCAAGCGAAATACCTTAAAGTAAGGTATAGTTACAATGTTTCGTAGCTTATATGCAGACGATTTAATGTCCTAGTCAACCCAGATGGGTCAATTTCATCCGTAATTAACAAACGAATAAATATTACACCAAGCATAATTATACGATTAATTAAAGAAGGAAGATTAATCATGAGAAGTCTACTGGAGTATGATGTTAGCCGCAGACGAGGATCCTAGTTTGAACTACGCAGAGCAAACAAAAGAAATTGTTTCTTTTCAGATTTAATTCTGTCTTGGTGAATGGAACATTTTAGCGACCAATAATTAACAAAAAATATATTTTCCATGTCAGATCTGTATATAATAGAGATATAAAACCTAAATGCTATAAAATGAATGAATATTAATTATAATTACTTATTAAATAACCAAATATAGATGGTCCATTAATGTCAGCTATAGATATAATGAACATTTATTTAATTTAATAACCAAATATTTATCCTTTTTTAATGTCAGCTCGGCATAACAAAGAGGTATATAATCTCTGTGTTAAAACTAATTTAAATTAATAAGAATTATTTTCCTATGAAGCAAATATATATTTTCATAAATGTCAGCTAATTAAAAAAATAAATTAAAAAAAAAATTAATTATGAAATAATAATAATCAAATATTTATGTTTAATTGATGTCAGCTCTGAATATCATAGAGGTATAAAATTTAAATGCGGACAAATGAATAAATATTAAATATAAGTATTTAATAATTAACCAAATATTAAAAATCTATGCGCTCAACATTATTTTAATAATTTGTAATTTATTCTGAGCTAAAAATATTTTTTCATTGACATCAGCTGTGTATATCTTAGAAATACTTCAAATTTATAATACTAAAATACCTAACTTATAAACTAGAATGCAACGTTTAGTTATGGAGTTAACAAAGAAAGAAAATAGAAAAATACGTTCCTTGAAATCTTTTTTAATTTGTTAGTAGTAAAAATGTAGTAAGCATATGATAATGATATACACATTGCAGGTCTGAACGGTTCCAATTTTGATCTGATTTAATGGAAAATTTGAACTGAATATAAAATTTGTATTAACATTCTTAATATTATCATAAAATATCAATATAAAGTCTGGAATTGAATTCCAGGTTCTCGTTATTTACTCAGACACATACACTTTCAAATGAATCGCGAGAACTGTAAGTGTACGATATATTTATTAAGATACTCATAAGCAATCCAATAATGGATCCAGTGCATTTCTCTGAAATTTAGGTAAAAATACTTGTCGAATACTTTTTCAACGAGTAGACATCCTCCCTTTAGCTCACACCTCAACAAAGAAGTACAGGGACACAATTTACTCACACTTATTCGAGTACTCAAAAGTATCCAAGTATGCAAACGAATATCTTTTGCCTCTGCATGTTCTTGATCTAGCCCACTTACGAGTCGGGTGTGTGTGTGTGCGTGTGTATCTACAACAACCTGTCAACGAGGCTGACTGGATATTTATTTCTCTCTCTCTCTCTCTCTCTCTCTCTCTCTGTATATGGTAGAATATATATCGTACTTTGTATATAACTCAAAATGCTCATGCCAGCTGTCATTTAAAAAGCAATTAAGTGAAGCAACTAAAAATTATATTTGGTGCGCCTTTGAAGCGCTTCAGAGACTAAATCAACTGACTGAGCTAATTATGTGAATTTTAAATAGGCATTTTTGGCGACATAAATACTTTTTTGTGTACACATTGTAAACCGTTTTTATGTGGCAGTGAAAACTCCGAAGCAAAAAAATACAAAAACAAAAAAGAAACGAGGAGAATTAAACAAATGCCCATAAATCACCGGATGTGGATGCTGTTCCCATCGGCAAGCCCGGCTGCCGTCTCCGGTTGCCATTTTCTTCTTCATTTTCAACTTGCGCTCGCTTCCCATGAGCGGGCGAGAGGGAGAGAGAGAGCTACAGATACTTGTGTGTATCTTTGAGATACATAAATGCCGCTGCCTGTCTGCGGCATGACGTTACGCTCTAAGTATGTCGTCGACGTTGTCGATCGCATATATGTAAATTTATGTTCAGATATTGCACATAAAGTCGGACCCCCCCAACGGCGACACAACGACAACATTTTCGCGCCTAATTTAATGGGGGAAAAGACAAAAACAAAAAAGGAAAAGAATGAGATGAATAAAAGCAACCGCAAGTTGCAAGCAAAATGGCGACGCTTTTGTGTGTGTTTCTTTTTTCTTTGTATTTGTTTAATTTATACAATTTAATTTAGTTAACGCTAGACATAAAATTATACCTAAACAATAGTTGTTTTTCTTATATTTTTAGTTGTTTTCTTTTGTTGTTGTTGTTGATTTGTTTCTTTAAATAATGTTTTAGCTTAGTCATCTATAAGATATGGAAAGAGCTGCAAGTGCTCGCTGGCACTCGCATTGGAATTATTCACGCTGTGTGCATTATTGTTCAGTAACTGGAAGCCCCAATGGCAATCGACACTCCTCCTCCACCGTCGCCTCCGCCGTCGCCACCCCCTCCTCCTCCTCATCAAGCTCGCCTAAGCCTTTTGATGCTGCGCATCGCCCTCCATGCGCCACACACCAAATAAATAGCTCAGCTTCTCGGGCGGTATAATCGGCGCTCCATTTGCCTTGCGCAGACACTTGAGATCAGCCTCGGCCCCATTGGCGGCACTGAGCAGGGTGCTGGCATTCCCATAGCCGGGCGACACTGGCGACGATTGCGCCTCCAGCGCTTTCAGCAGCGATATATCGCTGGAGCTTAGCATGCGGCAGAGGAAATCAATATATCTACAAAGAAAAGAGGTGAGAAAATGTTGTTAATTAATTGCACAGATAAAAACATACTTGGAATAAGTATTCATATTTAAGAAATAGGTAGTTTATATAGTTGAAAGAAATATTGAAAATATTTTAATTCTGGTTTTGGTGGACATTAGCCAGTTAACTAAATATTTGAAAATATTTTACTATACTACAATTTGGAGTTTAATTCTTTTAAAAAGTAATTGCACTTTAAATTAAAAAAGAGAACTTAAAATTTTTTAAAATATTACTTTATCTTTTTTTCAATACATGTAATTTTTATATATTATTTTGAATATATATTTTTTGTGACTTTCTTTAAAAAGTAATCTAAAATATTCACAATTCTAATTCCTCGCATTTTTAAAACTATTGTGAATTGAAAAGTTAAAAAGTCAATTAAAAAAAATGTTGATACTGCGATGTATTTAAATAAAATAAAAATAGGCCTTATCAGTTTTACTTTAAAGTACATTATTTTTGGTTCTAGGGGCTTCAGTATTTAAGTATTTAAAAGAAAATTTAGTGAAATAAAAACCAATTTTGGTTGTTATTCGATCATTTGAAATTTGGCTGTCTTGACTTTTTCATTTTATTAAATCTTCATTTAGCTGGCTCGAGGCTCGGGGTTAAGTTTATTAAAAACAAAAATGGAAAACAATTTTGTATTTTCGTCAGCCGTTTTCTGGCTAATATCGTTATATTATTTGATTCAGTCATGTTGATATATTTACGGTGCATATTAATATTACTCAGGTCAGTTGGGCTTTAGGGATTGTGTTAAGTTTCCACCCATGGGTAGACCCAGGTATCTGACCCAGCAGACAAACTGGGTTAAGCCCGGGCCGGAAATGCCCGGTAATATTGTGAACTTACCTTGTGGCCAGCTTGAGCGTTTGTATTTTGCTCAGCTTATCGCTCGGCAGAGTGGGTATTATCTGTTGCAGGGCCTTGAATGCATCGTTCAGGCTCTGGGTGCGCTGTCGCTCCCGCACATTGGCCATGACCCGCTGGTTGCTGAACTCGTCCGTTTCCTCCGTTTTGCTCGGCTTGCGTTTCAGGCGGCGTCGCGGCTTGCGAAACGCCTTGCCGGCTGCATCGCCAGCATCCAGCAGGCTGCTATCGTCGCCCAGGCACGTGGGCGACATATCCTCCATTTCATCCTCCTTGGCATAGCCGCCCACCGAGCTGAGCGCCGTTTGGCGCGCATATTCCATGTCTTCGCGATCGGAGCTGGAGTAGGCGCTGCCGTTCAGACTGTTGGCTGGTTCATAGCCGTCATAATTTTGACTGCAAAGCGCATAAGAACATTATACAAAAAATTGAAAATTCAAAATTAAAATATAGAATTCTTTAAATTATAGAGTTTTTTTTAAATATGGAATTCTTTTAAAATATAGAACTCTTTAAAGATATAGAATTTTATAAAAAATAAAGATTTCTTTAAATTTATAAAACTTGTTTAAGTCTTCAGATCGTTGATAATAAAGGTTCTATAGATGTGATTGTCTTTATAAAAAAAAAAAACAAAATGAAAAGTTTCTTTAAAAAGTTTCACAGACTCTTCCAGATAACAGCACTTAGCTTAAATTTTATTTGACTTTATGTCTAATTTTGAATGAACTTCATCTTAGAAATTTTCTTTGTGAGATGTTAAAAATGCTATTATATAGAAATAATCGTGTTGCAAATATTTTATGGGAAAACCTATTTTTTTAAGTAAAGGATCAAGTCTATTTTCCTGGGCATCTGACAAAATAAAGACTATGTTCAGATAATTTATTGATACAACTTTTAAGAGTTTAAATTTTTGTTTTATATATACGTAAGTATGAAAAATAATACTATATTTATTTGCATGTTGTCATGAGAAATTTTATACTGAATATCTGTGATAATTCGGCAGGAATATTTTCTTCGCCCTTACACAACTATTTCAATTTCTAAAGAGCGTGTTTTAAATTTGGCTAAACTTTATTTTTTTTGGATTCTCTAAAGGAATATTAAATAAATTTAATACGTTCTTTTGTTTTGGCATTTAAGAGGAATATTAAATCATTTAAATCCTTTTTTTTTTTGTTTTGAAGAATATAATTTGAATTGAACAGGTTTTCTTTGTTGTTTTTCTTTTTTTAGAAGAATATTAAACGACTTAAATATGTTTTATATTCGATTAATATTTTGAAACTTTAAGAATATTCAATTGATTAATATACCCATGAATATATATTATATCCTAATATACTTTGCCCTAATATATTATTTGATAGGGTTCTAATTTGGACTTTATAGGAATATTCAATAAATGTATATTTGTCTCATACTTTCATATGATCAAATTAAGAGTTAAACAGCAACTCAATATAATTGATATGGGATCAAAAGGAATATATGAGATACACTTACCCGGTTCTATAACTGCTCTGAAAGTGCAGCTGCTGCTGTTGCTGCTGCTGCTGTTGTTGCTGCTGTTGTTGCTGTTGCTGATGGGCAATTGTCTGCGGATATCCGCCGTATTTGAAAATGTGCGCCTTGTGATCCTGCAGCTCCTCGTCGGCGGCAAAGTCGAAATGCGAGTGGGAGTGAGAGTGGGGCGAGAGGCAGGCACTTTGCTGTGTGGGCGCTTGCGCCTGCGTCTGCGCTGCGGCCACCTCATCCACGGTGGTGGGCAAATAGTCCACATAGAGCTGCTGCTGCTGCTGCTGTTGCTGCAGCAGTTTCTTGTGCTCCGGTTGCATGGACAGCGCATCCGTTGGGCAATCGTAGTCGCTGCTGCTGCGCGACCTTTTGCCATGCTCATTGAGCATGTAGCCATGTGGAGTCTGGGGTGTAGCTGCCACGCCTGCTGGTGTCCCTGTCTGCTGCTGTTGCTGTTGCTGCTGCTGTTGCTCAAAGTTATGTTGGTTGTTGTTCAGCTCCAGGCTGCTTTGAGCGCTGTGATTGCTGCTGGTGCTGAGCACCTCGTTGCTGGGTATATTATAATCCGTATCCTCAAGCTCTGTAATGCCATAGGCCGCATAATCCGCAGCATTAGGCGCCAGCGAAGGCAGCGGCGCATATTGCTGTTGCTGTTGTTGCTGCTGCTGCTGCTGCTGTTGGTGTTGCTGCTGCTGCTGTTGCTGCTGCATGTAGTGGGCTGTTGGCTGCTCCATTAGCTGCATATAGGCGTGCTGCTCCACCTGTATGAGCTTGATGACATTATGCTGCAGCTCCATTATGTTGGGCAACGTTGGCTTGTAGCTAATGTCCAGCAGCACCTTAGGCGACACCGAGCGTGCGCTCATCGTTTGATTGGCAATTTTGAATAAATTACTTGCCCTTACTTTGCACACGAAAATATATATTTATGTATATAATATATATTTATATATAGCACTATATTTGTATCTTGTTAGGAGTTGTCTGATTCACGGGCCGCGTTATGTTTACAGTTTTTGTGCCGTGTGTGTTGTGCGCGCAGCGGCAAAGACGAAACGCAACTGACTCACGATCCTGCCGGCCATTGCTCAGATCGATGTTTTGCGCTGTGCTCGTACGCCATTCGCTGTGCGCTCTTCTCGCTGCGCGCGCAACTAGTTGTCTCGCTCTTGCGCACGCAACGCCCGCTTGGCTACGTCTCGAGCCTATGGCGGCTGCGGCGCAGGTATGACGTCAGGCCGTTTGGCTCAATTCGCCGGCGTCTGCATTTCGCTCTTGGATTTTCTCATCCGCGGCGGCTGCAATTTTGCGCGCTGGGTTTTGTCACCCGACTAGCAAGAGGCAGACAGCGAGGGAGAGAGATGTAGTGATTCCCTTAGAGAGAGTGAGAGTTCTGGATTTTTGAGGACTTGGGTTATTTTTTTTTTCTGCCAATTCTACGTAAACATAAAGCAACTGGGAAAGCATAAAAAGTTGGTTTCGGATCGAGCAATAAGCGAGAAGAAGAAAAGTAGATATCATACAATTTATTTTGTTTTATAATAAATCAAAATTGCATCATTCTATTTTAGTCAATAGTTATTTGCTTAGAAATTCAATGCTTGCATTAAGAAATATATAAAATAATGTATTGAATAAACATGTTTGCATTAAGATATGTAAAGTTGAAATTTATGTTGCCAGTATTAAACTATGGATATATTTTTGAATCTATTTATAGCGCAAGATTAAACAAACATTGTACTTTTTTAAACAGAGCGATTAATATTCAAAAGATAAATTTAAGTATGAGCTAGCTATATATATTTATTCGGATTTTAAGTTTGTTTTCTTTAAAACAAGTAATTAAATAAAATTTGAAAATTATTTACAAAATAATTATATTAAGTTTGTATTTACCACAACATTATCTAATTATTTATTTGCATTTATAAATCATATTACTAAAACTAAAATCCTCAACCCTACTAAAGATCCAAATAAGGGAACTCCACAAAAAGGTTTCATTATGCGTAATTAGTAAATTCCCACACACACGCACACACACACACACACACACTCACCCACAATCCCATAAACCTCATCTAGAAAAACACAAAAATCCAAAAATACGAGCGAAAAGTCAAATTTCCGGATATAATTATCCGCCTGCCTGACAGCAAAAATACCCGATTAATGCGGCGCGCGAACTTCCGCTGGAAAACACCGCCGAAAAAGGACGCCGGATTCACGTCCTTTGGACTTACCTAACCCGAGCCGAGTAGGGCCGAGCAGAAAAACCACGAAGAGGGTTTTTTTGTACCCTGGGTTTGCCCTCATTACCTGACTGCTGAAGCCGGCAAGACTATCGCAACACAACTTAAATAAGTTTGGTATTAACAAATATTTAATTAACAAACGCTTCAAATCAATTTGAATTAATTTGAACTCATGTATTAATTAAGCTTAAAAAGCGCAGTAAATATCCAAAGCATAGTTTTGGGCGCTGGTATTTAAAAAAGCTGAAAACTGGCGCTGGGTTGCTGTCTTAGCTAAGTTATGATCGCAGCTGAGCCACAAATCGCCATATAAAATATTTAGCTATAATAGAAGATACCAAACGTTAACAAAACTTGTTATAGCAACTCTTTATGGCGGCGCTCAAAAGTATGCCGCATTTAAAATAACTAAATTTATAGCACATCATTTGTTTGATTTTTGTTGTTTTTGCTATTATTGTGATTTTGCTTTTTGTTGCTTTAACTGATTTGCTGTTTTTTACGCATTGGCCACGGTTAAGTCACGTAGTATATTGATTTCAATTGCGTTTATGTTGATTTGGATGCGCACAAAAAAAAAACACAAGAGCTAAAAAACGTAACGTCTAGATGTTTTTCTTATAAGAAATGCGCGCTTTTAGATATTTATTTTGCGTGCAAAACAACGGCGGCCGCTTTCCATTTTGACAATTCCAATCCTAATCCTGTCATCTAAGAGCAGCGGGACACATGTGTGTGTGTGTATGTGTGCGTGTGTGTGTATGTATGTGAGCGTGAGAAGCAACTTTTGGTGCACGTAAATCTCGCTCGACAATCAATTAAAATTAAAATATTTTTTTGTGTCTCGCATTGCGGCATGTCAGGCGAAAAGGAAAAACAATAACAACAGCAACAACAACAATACCAACAACAACGTTGTCTACATATTTGAATTGACTTTTGATGATGTATCACGATTTATTGTTACCAAAAATGGTTGTCAAAGCGCGTGGAAAAGTGGATCAGTCGCGTCTAACGGTACACGCGCAGCGGCCAGAGAGCGAAAGAGAGCGCAAAAAACTCCCACAGCTGTCGGACCGCCGAAATGCCTTTTGTCTCATGTGCTTTTGCCTGTGCGCCTGTTCGCCAGTTCGCCCGCTCGCCAATTCGCCTCGTTTGCGTTTTGCGTGGCGCAGATGCAGCTCCAGATTAAGCGGCAAAAACACATAACAAGGCTGATGGACGTGCAAGCATCTAAAAAGCTGTCACATACACACTAACACACAAACGCGCACACACACACACGCACATAGCTGAGCTTTATGTGCTGTTGTATTAATTGCCTTTGGGCGAACGCCGACAGCCAATGAGAAACGCTGGCGCCAACACCTACGCCAAACTCGTCGCGCGTCTGTGTGTGGCAATGCATGTTAATTAAAAATACACAAGCAGGCACACAAACAAACACACAAACATACACACACACTCACACACACACGTGCGAGACAATGTAAACAGTTGGCCACCCAATAATATGCGCGCCAACTTGTCATTTAGTCTAGCTCCACCTTAACAAAACAAACAAACTGGCGCACACACACAAGCGCAGATATACACGCACACACACACACACACACACATAGACAGCGACACACAGGTATGCTGAGCTGCTCCAACGCAACATGTTGGCTGCGGCTAGTTTCATTCCAGCAGCGAACGTGGCGCTAGTCGGTCGTGTGTCGCGCTTCGTTTTATCGTACAAAGCGCTTAGTTAAACGGTACAATACGAGCTTAGCTCCTTTTGGCTGCGCGGCGACCGTTATAAACGTGCGCGTTGCCTGTGTTTCTGTTTCATGCGTTTCGCCGTTCCGTTTGCCGTTTGTGTTTACGTGTTTTGTGCAGCCGGCGTTTGCTGTAGCTGTTCTTGTTTTTTTGCAACGACTGCGCGTGCGTGCGTGCGTGCGTGTGTTCCGTTTGATTTAAATGGCGTTTTAAGTGAAATTAAAATGACGGATGTGCTGTAATTTGCACACTCACTTGCACATACACACACATATATATACAACACTCACTTACGTACAGACGAGTGTCAATAAATTTTACAAACACGCGGCAGCCCGTGGGGCGTAGCATGTGCCTAGCCTTTTGATTACAACTACACAGCGCGTGATTACAACGCCCCAGCAACAGCAACAACAACAACAGAAGCAACAGCAGCAGCAGCAGCAGCCGTTGATCGAATTAAGTGTGCATCGCCTCGTTTGTGTGTGTGCGTGTTTGTGTGTTTGCCTGCTGATTGCTGTTTGTTGCGCCCGCGGCTGCGTGTCCGGCAATTGAGCGGATATGCAGGAAAATGTGTAAACACCCCCGCCCAGGAAGCCGGCTGCAATAAGTGCTAATAAGTGACCCGACCGGATGTATTTATGAATTTTGTGCGTTTGACGCCCAAGCGTCGCACAATAAGCGCGTTGGAACAGTGGAACAATTGGAACACACACAATACGGTCATGCGCTGCCGCCTCAATAAATATTTGCCTATGGCCAGCTAAGCAACTCTCTCACTCGCACACCCCAACCCACCCCCCCACACACAAGAGACCGCTCTCGCTCGCTCGCTCGCGCGTCACGCACCGCAAAGCTTTTCGCTTCGTCTGCAAGTTTTTGCACAATGCGGCGGGCAACGTCGCTGCCGTCGCCGCCGTCGCCGCGTTGGCTGCGTCGCCGTCGCTAAAGCGCCTGCAAAAGCCCGCAAAGAGGAACACAAAATTTCAAATTGCAACTACCGCCCGCTTGGTGCGTTGCACTCTGCCCGTGCCTTTGTGTTGTGTGTGTGTGTGTGTGTTTGGTTGTTGTTGTTGTGCTCGTTGTCATTGATTTGGCGGGTAGCATGCAGCAGTGGCAAACGGTAACAGCTGCTGCGACAATAGAGACTAACTACAATAGTTGCAGCGATTATTTCAAGCACCATCGTCGTCGGCGTCGTCGTCGTTGCTGTTGCAGTCACAGTCGCAGTTCCGTAACGTGGCCAGAACGTTGCCGGGCAATTATTATTTTGTAAGACGTTTTACAATTTAATGGTTTTCATGGTAAGCACCACTCCACTCCACTCGACTCGACTCACTAAGCCAAAACGCCAACGCCAACGCCATATGCCATGTGCCCCCGTTCTCAGTGCAGCCATCTAACCCCGCTGCCCCAACCTTGCCCTCTCTCTCTCTCTCTCTCTCTCTATCTCCCGACAAGTTTTCCTTACCCGCCCCACATACTTGCTCCTCCTCCACTTGGCTGTTTGCTCTGCCCTTTTTGGACAGCAGACGCCCCTGAGTGCACCCGGAGACACAGTGAGACCTGGCTGACACCTTCATACCAATGGTTGTGCCATAATTAGGCTACACACATTTTATTCCAGTTTATTATACCCTGTTTTTAACTTTTCCTTACATTTCTGTTTGCAGAATGGACTGGGATCCGACCCTCTGTCAGCAAAGGAGGTGAGTTTCGATCAAATTTAGTGAGCACTTCAAATTCTCTTGAGCTTCATTAGATATGCATTAGTTACTTGAGTGGCTAAAGGAAAATGTAGTTTAGTTAAGTTTACCACAGCACACAATACACAAAGCTCTTATCAATACTTTTCTTTTCGAGAAAATTCCTTAAGGATTTACATAGTTCATAGTACGCATAAAAAGGGCTCAGATAAACACTTTCTTTTAACCTTTATTTAAAAAAGAGTTAGCGTATGCTTAACTAAAGTTCGAGTTTTGCTCAAGTAAAAAGTTCTTATTGCCCATCCTAGGCTTGGAAGAAGTTTCAAAAGCTTTCGAATTGAAACAGATGCAAGCTAAACATTATTTTGCTAACTTTGGATAGAATAAACATTATCTCAAGGAAGTCTGCGCAAAATCAGGAATACTCTTAAGCATGTGTTCATGTACAGTGAAAGCTCTCTTGAGCGGACATTTACTTTTCTAGATTAATTGTCTTGCTCACGGAGATGTTTGCTTAAAAAATGTATCGAACAAATAACAAAAAAAAAAAAACGGCAAAAAGAGATTGAAAAATCTTCATTAAGAAATGTTTAGACCGTTAGCTAGGGTTTGTCAACCATTTTTTTTATAGATTTATGTAGTCTTCCTTATTTTTTCCAAAACTGGAAATATTTCTATGTGTGTTAATTATACAAATTTTTAAACTTTATTAAATCTTTATTAACAAAAGATTTAAAAAAATGGAAAGGTTGCCAAAGCCAGCATTAAAAACTTTTTTTGACAAATATATTTAAAAAAATATCAAAATTACATAGAATGTGAATTTTGGCAAGTATCCCAATTTCTTGTAAAGCTATTTCCATATAATTGTCCATATAATTGTGCCAAAAAATTTGTATGCTCTCTAAAAATAATTTTTTTAAAATGAGATTTTTGTACTTAAAATAATGTCAGAATTCGGCTTAAAAATCTTCTACTCAACGAAAGGCACTTGGTTTGAACCAAAAAAAGATTTGAGCTTAGAAACTCCCAAGCGCGAACATTCATATATTTAATTTATTTTGTAAATAAATATTAAACATTGGTTCCTGGGAATCTCTATGTGGAGAACATCTTAAATAATTACAGCAATTTTACGAAACAAGAGTTGATAGTTATATTTAAAATGCATGGCTAAAACACAGGGAACAAATGTTCAGGAATCAGGATGTTGGCAATAGCTGGAGAAATACCAAATCAGTTCCATAAATTTAAATCATACAACTTATAAAATACTTCTGTTAGCGTGACAGTTGGAAAAACCATTTGGATATTACAGACCTGAATCTCAGAAAGTTATGTTATATTATATTTGCAGCTTTTCTAAGAGAAAGTGTTCTGCTGCAAATCTTAATACAGTTAATTGAGCATATCTAGAATTTAATTTATATTTCGAATATTCAGGAATTTAACTAAACAAACTAAGATATGGCATAAAGAGTCAAACAGAGTGCACCGCAGCTCGGACTTAAGTCTATTGCAATTATTTCAAATCAAGCTCGGATTTCTTTCTTTCTATTAGAGATAAGTTGTTTTATTTTCCAAAAAAAGTCTGCTGCGTTTAGTTCTAGTTCTGCATTAAAAATAAATCTTTTGAATTTAGTTTTCCCATAAACTTTATTCGAATCACATCACATTGTTAAAGCGCGATCAATTAATATAATTTGCACTTGGCGTATTACACTCTCTGAGACTGTGAAGTAAATGATAGAGTTCGGTCTGTGGTAGCATTAATGACATCTAGCAAACAATTCCCAGTTCTGCAATTGGTCGCCTTATAAAACTCATCAATCGCCGCAAATTGCGCGTCTCAAAGCAAAAAGCCGCACAGCAACTGCTTTTTTTGTTTGTGCTTCTTTGGTGTGTTGCCCGAAAAATTCCTGCTGCAAATATCATTTGCCAGCTCACATACCAGCCGGAAAACAATCCATAAAACTGGCCATCAAGTCAGCTCGAGCGGAGCCGGACAACCGGCTAATGGTCAACTCCTCTCGATCGGCGCCAATGAGAAATTTCAGCACGTCTCACACAAATTAGCGCAGCGATTGCAATGCCAATAACAATATCATAAAGAAGGGCGAGCGATCTATAATAGTATACTATAGACTGTGCTAGGATGGGATGGGGACTGAGGCGACTGGGGGGCAACACTAGGTAGATCGATAAATCAGCGCAGTTAAGCGAGGCAATTAGATAAAATGGCTGAACAGTTGCTGGGCCCGCATATCAATTGCAATGCATCTCGAGCCGAGCCGAGCCGAGCCTCGGCTCCCGCTCGATGTGTCCGATGAAGTTGTTGTCAATGCAATCCATAAGATAAACAGACCAAAAGTCAAACGATTGCATGTGCTCCCGCCGGACACAATCGAAGACAAACTATCTAATCTAATGTTGTTCTCAAAGCCAATGAGCATTTGTTTGTATAAATAAATGCAGCAGCCGCAACAGGCCAATAACAACAACAAACATTGCCCCAGGGGGGGCTCGACTATAACGATACCTTGTAATTAGTATGGTTACCCAATTTAAAGTTAGCGACTTTTAATTAACTGCTGATAACTAACAAGAACAGTAGTTAAAAACAATAAATATTGCACAATTACAAGCAGCCGGTTGTTATAGATAATAATTGCCAAAGTGTTGCATATTATAATCTATTTCAAAGTAAAACAAAGTAAAACTAAAGCGAATTCGTACCCATATTTATTTGTGAGCTGCCTCAGTCAACATAGCGTAGAATTGGGAACGCTGGAAGTGAAATAGTTTCACAATTGCTTGTATTCTCACTGGAAATCAGGAAATCAAATTAAATCAATAAATTCTCAAGAAAATGTTGAATATAATATAACATATATTATTTAGCCCTGAAGATAATTTTTGTTATTCTTTGACACACATTTAACAGAAAAAAAAAAATTAAACTAAATACAAAATTTGTTTGTTACGAACTGCTATTTTTAGAATAACGACATTCAGTTCCAAAGATGAAAAAGATATTAAACCTTATCTTAAATATAGTATTTATACTTTTCGAAATTTCGCAAGCACTTTCGATCCTTCAAATTAAAATTGGTAAATAAATAATAAGGCTTTGCATTTGTCAATAAACTTTCCATATGAATAAAGTAATGACAAACTAAGTTTTGTTTTGCTTAAAATATATAATGAATTGGGACTCTAAAGTTGAATCCGAAAGTTTACAAAGAAGAGTTTTCAGTTAAAGTCAATATAAGACTTTTTACAAGATAGATATACAAGTCTTGACACGGAATAGTGAAATGAAACATAGAACTGTTAAACAAACGAAGCGAGAAATTTTTCTTTTCTTAAAATGATATCTAGGACACCAAGACTTTATAATATGAACACTATAATATGAACTATTATTTTGGAAATTGTAAGTTCATTAAGTTTTTCCTGTCATTTGTAGCATTTCTTTTAAAGAAAACTATGAAATAAAACCTATGAAATGTCTTTTCACAGCAGGGCGAGTAAAAACCGAAATTCACTTTCAATGCTCAGTCAACTGATTGAGCTAAAATACCCGACTAAGCGTGAGTCTATTTACTGGGCATGCCACATCGCGTGGCTGTGTGGCTAAGTGTAAAAATCGCAGCATCTAGAAGTTGGCCAGCTTGTAAATCGCCCACTCGACGCTGACATTTTTTCATAATTTGCGCTACAAGCTTGACAATTGTCGTTTGTTGCCCACTGGGCAAACCAGCGTGTTGTTGTTGTTGTTGTTGTTGTTGTTGCTGCTGTTCTCATTGCTGTTGGCAGCTTGTATGCAACAACAGCGCGCTGCATCCGTTTGGCCAAAAGCTCTTGAGTTGGCTCGAAACGCGAAGTGTTGGCGCTTTCGCACCTCCAGTTACGGCTCCAACCACATCTACCCGGCTCCCCAGCTCCCCAGCTCCTCAGCTGCCCAGCTCCAAGCTCTAGCCGCATATCGTATGCCCAATGCATATATGCAGAGTGCTAAATTAAAATTTATCCGTTTTATGGCGCTGCGGGCAGCCAATAACTGTTTTAAGCCAACTTTTTGTAGTTTTATTATATATATTTTTTTATAACTCTTTTTTTTTCTGTATTTTTTTAATAATATTTTTGGTTTGTTCGCTTGGCTTTATTGCCGTTAGTTTATTGGTCAAGATTTCGTAAGCGCATAACGCGCAACAATTGCGGTTTCTCTCATATGGGGCAGAAGCAGCAGCAGTAGCAGCAGCAGAAGAAGAAGCATAAGCTTTCGTCCCCCGCCAATCGACGGAAGTCATTTGCGGTTCCACGCAGTTGAATTCAATAAGCCAAACAGCTGCCAAGCACGCAGCGTTATAGTAGATAGAGATAAGAGCTCACAAACACACACACACACACACACACGCACTCGGTTATGCCTCCCCCACTGCCTCCCCGCTGCTGGGAGCATAGTTCTGTGCAGCATTTTGTCAAACTTGATTAGCTTTAGCCATAGCCTTATTGTTTACCTGCATATCTAATAAGCCGCACTCTTAATCATAATTATGTTGTTGTTCACGATGCTGATCTTAATCACTTCTCTCTTTCACTCTCTTTCCCTCACACTCACTCACTCGCTCACTCACTCATCCACTCTCTCTGTCTCTCTCTCTCTCTCTCTCTCTCTCTCTCTGTGTTCTTCTTTTGCAGGCAGAGGGCCCTCCGGTTCAAGTTGAACCAGTTGATTTGAGTTTACGTTCGCCGCGCGGTAAGTTGCTAATTATATACAAGCTCGTCTTTAAGCCCAGTCCGGAGTTCGTTTTTTATTTTGTTATTGTTGTTGTTTACCAACACTTACCGTTTTCTTGGTCAGCCGAGAGAGCACATTAACATATATGGTTCCGAGTAATTAATCAATGGACCCAGCCATCAAGTCTGTAAAGTTGACTTTTTAAAGCGGGTCAACTAAAAATAATACCGAAAAGAAACCAATTTGCATCCCGAGTGAAAATCGAATGGAGGCGGGTTTTTTAATTATAACAGTTGGCAGCTTGCATAGAGCTTAAGTAAACCCCTCATTTATTTTTTGTGGGTGGTCGGTGAAATATTCGTAATTGATAAGCAGAACATTTTCATGGTTTAAAGTTAGTTTTAGTTTAAGCGATCGGGATCGGATTGAATGAAAGTTGAAAGTTTTTGAAAAATTTGTGATAGCTCTTAAGTGCTTAGGTTGGAGAAAAAAACAAATTGTCTGCAGATAGTCGCACGAAATGCTTAAGATTAAAATATTTACCGCACAGCTTATACGGCTCAATCGTTAAGAAACCATTATAACTAATTTTTATGCCAGTAGCTTTCCATGAAAATGATGAACAAATCTATTTTTAGTCAAAATTATTTAATTTTTATATTTTTATAATTATTATCATCTTTATTATAAGTTAATATTTATAGGCTAATCGAGGATTTGAACCCGGATCCTCATATATCAATTACTGTTAATATGGAGGTTAAATTTGACAAATAGTTAAACACATACATTTATTTTTATCCTTATTGATAAATTTGCTAAGAATCAGGCAACGCTGCGTTGACAGGTTGGCAACACCATATAAATGAATTTTTCGAGTTAATTGCAGGTGGCAACACTGCAATTTTCATGTTTCCTCTTGCAAACATTTGAAGGCTGGCAACTCTGCTAGTTGCTTTTTCTCTTAAACTTGACAGTAATGTTAGATATATTTTTTATTTTTTTATTAGTAGACTCAATATTTAATAGAAGATTGTTTCTCTGACCAAAAACTGAAGACCAAAAGAGTCTTACTATCTGTCTATTTTGTTCTCTACTTCTATTTTGACGATCTAATTAATATTACTTTAGGCAATTTTTGATGGATTGCGCGTAATCTAGTTTTCCTAATAGAGCTTTATTCATTTAATCAACAAAGCTAATCAATTTATGCAAATCTGGATTTATAAAATAATGATATACAGAAATCTTCGAACGCTTTATATCACATTTATTTCTTGTCGTCCTCGACTGAACGAAATAAACTTATCCAGAGGCAGCCGGTTCCGGTTTCACTTTCATGCAATCTAGTCTTAGATCATCCGTGCTAAAGTTAATTTGTTTTTATTTAAAACATGATATGCTGGTATAGGAATATAACGATTGGAAGGGAAGGTCTTTTTACTTTTGGAAAATATTTAAAAAACTGCTGCATTTTTTTTATAATCTTTTTGTTTTTTTTTGGCAAAAGTGAAACTCGGAACGCGACCGCCAGGAGTAGTAGTTAATGATTAAGCATTACACGCAGCTCATTTAATTAATGAAATACAAGCGCATAATTATTTCTATTTCCATTTTCATTTCCATTTAATGTGCGTTCTTTCGAGCTGCATGCAACTTGTTGCAAGCTTCGGTCGTAATCATCATGGAAATCACTTGTAGGCCCATAAAAACCGATTCACGCTGATTCTCTCTAAACGTGGCTCCATTTCTAACGCAACGACAATGGGCCACAGCTGTTAGCTACCCACTGAGCCAGAACCCAAGCTGAACCTAAACGCAATGCTAATGGTGGGGAGGGTGAGGTGCCGGGGGGCTGTTAGGGAGGTAGGGGCATACAATCTAGCGCAACTAACAAGCCCATAGAGAGCGTGTGTCGTTGTTGTTTGGTTCTTGTTGGTTTTACCACTTGACCGACCACCAGCTGTTGACCATTTGACCTTTTTGGCAGCCTTTCTCTTTGACTAGGCGCATAATCTGTATGTGTTAGTGTGTGTGTGTGTGTGAAGTTAACAGCAACGCCCCAAACTGTTGCCCACTGCGTGGTACTTACCCGTTCCGGGTCTCAACTCATCAGCAGCGACATCATCAGCCCATGTTGCCAGCGACTATCTTAAGAGATGGATGGTTGCTTCGGTTAGATAGATAGATAGTTATATGGTTGCTGCTGCTGCTGCTGCTGCTGGCCGTAGGGTGCCCAGAGCGGTACACATAATTTAATTAAGAAGCAGAGCTTGGCTTCAGTTTTGTGGTTGCCTTAAATGGCTATACAGTAAGATTAACAGCTAAGAGGCAAAACGCGCTGCGTTCATTAGACAACGACTAAGAGAGTTTTTCGAAAAACTATAGACTGAGTTCCACTCGGCAGTTGCGCATATTAATCAATTAGGCATGATATTAGTGAGGGCATCATTAATTTTGTCAATACGGAATGCCTCTGAGAAGCGCAGAGAGAGGCACACACTCAGTCGTTCGCATGTTAATGGTTTTCGTTTTTATGGCGTGCTACCACAGCGCGCGAGTTGTCTGCGGATCTGTGGCAAATGTGTTAAATAGCGTTAAAATTTGTAAAACAAACGGCACATAATGGGAGACCCCGGCTTAATTTTCAAGTTTAACGGTCATTCAGCATTGCCTTATATATGTATATACATATACACACATATATATACACTTGACTATTTGGCTACATAAATTATAGCTTTTAAATAATTATGCAATTAGGCAGCGGCCACGATAGCCGATAGCCGATAGCCCCAAACTGCGAATGAACTGAATGAAGCAAAAGACAACAAGATGGAAAAAATATGCCTGTATATATACGGGGTGGTGACTACAAAATACCCTGCATTAAGGTAAAAGGATGCACAAATAATGTTGTTGGTCAAAAGCCTCTAGAGGAAAGCTTTAAATGATATCTATGATAGAAAAGTATGACTTAAGTAAGATATTCAGAAGGAAAAGAGGAAAAGAGAATGCGGAAAGGGTAAGAGAGCGAGCTCCTCTTAAGTTAAGTTAAGTTCTGTAAATAACAAACCGGTTTTTCTTGCATAACTTCTTCATTTCCTATACGATTTAAATAATATATCGGGAGATATAAAGCTGTATGCCTAAAATATAGGCATACCAAATTTCATGACAATATCTTAATATTTGTCTAATTTATTTCACTTTGACGCTAAAGAGTAGCAAGAAAGATTCTTTCTTAAATATTCCTGCTACACTTGAAAGCTGTGACATCAGAGGAGATCCCTCTTATCCGTCCAACTCTAGGGCTCATCGGGAGGATTAAATGCAGAGCCGCCAGCCTTATCCCTTCCGCGAGCAACTGCTGATCACAGGGTATAACCAAATTCAACTAAAACGCCAAAAAGCCAGCCAAAAAGCCCAAAGACTGTCCGTAGTATCCCCACAAGCTGAGTGCGAATTCCCACCAAGTCTAATTGCAGGCTGGGAAGCGTTGCAGCTAAAACGAAACAACTACAACTTGATTTATTTAAGCTACCCAAACAGCCCATAAATAAAGCTGTTGAACTAGCCGCAGAGCGCAATGGCTGGAGCTGAGGGAGGGGCTGCTGCAGCAGAAGGTGCAGGGGCAGGGGCAGCTAGTGCAGGCGTTGGTGACGGCAACGGTGCCGGTGCCGGTGACGGTGCCGGTGCCTTACCCACAGTCTCAGCCTGAGTCTCTGGCTGAATCTCAGAGCCAGACTCCGACTCAGTTCTGTGGTCCTCCTCTGGCTGGCTCGGCACTTGGGGGCATAGGCTTTCAGGTTAAGTAGATGCGGCGACACGCGGGTCGTTGCCAAAGCGAACGACCTTAAGACGAGGCAACAGGCAACAGGCAACATGGGGCACCACTCCAGCAAACCATTGAATGATATGCAAGTTTTCAGCTTGTTCTTCTATTTTTGTGTTGCGCTTAGTGTTACCGTTGCTGCACTTCATCGATGCGGCTGCTGATTTTTGGCATCTCGAGCGATAGAGTCCAACATCGCCGCTTGCCATCTCATAACTGGCGGCGGCGGCGTTGTCGGCCGCTCCTTGACTCGAATGCAGCTCGGAATTCATACCTGGGCCCGCACAATGCGAGTGCCAGGGCGATTGTTTTTTAATTATGCCCGAGCTCCGGCTGACACCCGGACAACAGGCAGCAGGCAGCAGTCAGCAGTCAGGAGGCACCAGCTAGACCAGGTCCAAGTTCTGTCTGTTTTTTTTTTTGGGGGCGCTGTTTAACATGGCGCGTATGTAGCGCGCTTGTCGCTGGCTCCTTCGCGTTGACTTGGACTCGAGTTGACTGAGTGACTGCCTTTTTGAGGTTATGTGAAAGGTCAAGTTCGTGATCGCATTCAAACATTTTTGCCAACCACTCATCTTGCTGCGCAGATCGGCGTACCGACCGCCGACTGCCGCCCGCCAACTGCCACCCGCCTCCAAGCTCACTCGATTCCTCAGTGAACTGCGGGACCAGCCTAGTCGTGGATTCAGGGAGGGGGGCTACACGAGTGTGAGCCCGACCCAAAGCCAAGAGACGTCGTAGAAAAATTGAAGATGAGCGTGCCACCACCACGCCACGATTCTGCCATTGCCACACTGCGTCCCCTTCCCCCTCCCCGTCCCCACCCACTATCTATTGCTCCTCGCCTGCCTTGTCGCACCAAATTGAGTGAATGTAAACTGTGGTTTACTTGTTTCCAGCGTTGTCATAGTAATTTTTCTGCACTATAACAACGGGCAGCGTCGCCTCCAACTTCAACTCCAGCCCCAGTCCCAGCCCCAGCCGCAGTCCCAGTCCCAGCCCCAGCTCCAACTCCGAACCCAACGACGGTGGCAGCAGTCACCCGAAAAAACACAGAAAACAGACAAAAAATGGAGATGCTGATGACACTGGAGACACGTTGTCTCTCTGGCAATCGTGCAACTGACACACCAGCAACAACAACAACAACAATAACAACGAAATGTTATAGCAGCATATGCCA